TATAATAGAAACATACACGATTACGCTCATTAAGATGTATTAATGTGGAAGTACAAAATATTAATGACAATTTTTGTAACCGAAAATGGAGGGAACATTTTAGAGGTTTCATTAAATGTTTTATTAAATGCTACATGCCAGCAATTATATTTATATATATTCCTACTAGGAATATGCTCCCGGCTATGTTGCCTGTTCTTTCTAAAATTACTCCCATCATCGATCTTTTATGCGTGTTCCGGCACTCAGCTGCTTTTCCTAGTCCCGCGGAGTCTAGTATTCGCACCTTGCCTATTCCTATGAGGACTAGGCTTGCTCCCATGGTCTTGCCTCTCCCTGCTGTGCGCACACGATCGCACCCTTCGGCCGCATGAACATCTCGCACACATCCTCGCCACCTGCGCGGATGTCGCGCACGCCCACTCGCTCGGCATCGCCCCCGTGCTCGCCATGCGCCCCGTGCTCCTGCTCAATCGTGCGCTGTACCGCGCCCGTCGTCATTCGCTCAATCACCCTCACGCGACCGTCCCATGTGCACGCTTCCACCCAACATCCACCCCTCGGACACTGCTCGTCTCCTCCGCAATGTAAATGCCGGAGGCCCTAGAATTCAAGCGTCGTGCGCGTCGCTCCCTCGTGCACGCCTTGAACCAGTCAACTGCATCACTCGAGCCCGCTATCATACACTCGGCCCCGATCCACTGCGCATTGTCTTTTCTCAAGCGCCCTAATGTTGCACTCTTATGGGCTACCTTCTCACATGCCCTTGCGCACCTCCATGCGCTCGACCCTTCAAGCCTCGATCTCTCGAACTTCTTACTCGAACTCTTTATCGTGGTAGACTCTTGCATTCTTGACCTCTTATGCCATTGTGCACGTCGGCACCCTCATATACAGGCTCGTGCACGTCTCCTAGTCCATGCAAGCCTTGTTACGGCCCTTTGCTCGGCCTTCTTGGATAATATCAGCCTTCTGCCATTCTCGCCTTCAGAGGTATACACCCACATACGTATCATTCTCGCCCCCTTTAAGAATGTCCTTGTCCTCAAGGACTCATCATTGACCATCTTCCAAGTTACCTCCTTGTCAAGATTCACCTCGACCACTACGTGCGCAAGTTCTTCCTCATGATTCACCTCGTCTTCGTTGGACTCGCCCAAAGTTCCTTCAACCTCGGCATAGTGTTCATCGGGGTATACATCGAAAATAGGCAGTCCTTCATAACCAGTTATCTCCTTCACGTACTCGATGGCCCTCAAGTCATTAAATTATTTCGGGAATTCAAATGGGAAGATAGACTCCTTACACTTAGCATCGACTTGGTATTCGGACTCGCCTAGTACGCCGTCGTTTGCTCTAACCAACTCGCGTATCTCGATTTGATGTTGCTTGACTACTTCAACGTCCATGAGTTTATCCTCGGGGTACACGTCGAAAATGGACGGGCCATCATAATTCGTCGAGACTTGCTCGACCCCTTTGAAATAGTCGTCCAACAGCACGAGGTCCTTGTACTTTACTGGCTCGACCGTGCCTGCATGTGCCCTTCCCTCCTCGACGGTGAAGATCTGGCCGCCCACATGCCAAACCTGCTCTATACTCTTGAGACCTACCTCGGTCCCACCGTCTTTGCTTGCCTTAAACAGTGACCCGATGCTCTCCTAAGTCGAACTTCATGACCCCGATTCGGTAGTTGGTGGTCACTTCTACTAATCCTTCAAGCCATTGTACTCATAACATAACGTCGAGTCCAACAAGAGTAGTGCATAGAGATCGTCTTTGATGGTGACTCCTTGAAATTAGATCAACACCGCGCGATAAGACTAGGTGCACCTTAGCCATTCTCCATTGGCTACTCAGACCACGAATGGTTGTATCTTTGTTGTTGTTAACTTCAAATTCTGAGATAGCGTTGCGTTGATGAAGTTGTGTGACGATCCGTTGTCCACTAGCACGACTACACGGTGGTCCTTGACCAATATCGTCAGCCGCATTGTCCTTGGCCATCGGGTGCCTACCATTGCATGCATCGAGATCTCAGCCTCTTCCTTAAGTACCTCAACCTCGACTTCGCTTTCTATGTTCTCTTCCATATCGGGCTTTTCCTCATCCGAGTCTATGACATCGATCACAAAAGTCTGCTTGCATCGATGGCCCGGTGTGAACCTTTCTTCGCATTTATCTCCTCTAGCGACAATCGCTTAACCTTTGGGACTGGTGGTCGAGAACTTTCGGGCAGTCGACCACTGAGGATTATATTACTGGAGAACGGTTGTACGCCTGCGGTTGGATTGCTCTAGCCCGTGCACCGCATGTCAGAATAGCGGGCGTCCGCTCGTCTTCTTCGCGTGGCTGCTAGGTGGTGCTCTCGACGTCGGGCTTCCTCCATGGCGGCATGTATTTCAGGACGCCCTAAGCGCACCTCAGCAGCTAGATCAAACTTTAGGCCACCTATGAATTCTCCAACTAGTGTAGTCTCGGGCCAACCTCGGACTCGACATGCTAGACGCTTGAATTCCTTCAAATAATCATGCAAGCTACCTGTTTGCCTTATTCTTGTTAGTGCCACATCATAGTTGTGGTAGTCAGACATTCCGAAACGCATGAGTAACTCGCGCTCGAAGTCGTTCCACCCAATGACTCGTTGTCGGCTGCGGTAGACGCTTATGAGCCACTGCCACCACACGTTGGCTCTCCATCAAGGTAGTAGGCCGCACACCGCACTCGTTCGTTCCCCTCGGTCTCGTTGAGCTCGAAGTATTGAACAACCCGGTTGAGCCATCCATCAGGATCGGTGCCGGTGAAGGTGTACAGCGTGGGCCTCGGCTTCTCGGGCTTCGGTTGATCATGATAGTTGGACGCCTAGGATCGCCGGTCGAAGTTGTCCTCCTGCTCCCGATCCTTGCGCCGTTGCTCGTGGTCCTCGTCTCGCTTTCACTCATCGCATCGCTCGTGGCTCGTCGTGCTGTCTTTCGTGCGCGTGCCTGAGATGCTCGCGCCTCGGGGGTGGTGGTGGTGCGTCGTACTACCGCTGTTGCTGCTGCTGGAAGCCTCGCAGCACCTCATCCAGGCACTGCTCGAGTCGCGCCATTGCCGCGTTGGTGTTGCTTTGGCCTTCTTCGAGCGATCCATGCCTACCCTCCATATTTTTGCTAATGATAAGGGGGTACAGAATAAAGAGGAAAAAAGAAAGGGAATGGGATAGGAAAAAAACACACGATCTAACACCTCTCAATGAAAGCACCAATGATGAAGATCGTGTGTTTTGATTACCGATAAACCACAAACCGCGCCTTGAATCGCTGATAGGTGTTTCTCAAGCCACAACCGCGCCTTTTGAAACGAATAAATTTGCAATAGAATTTTGGTGAAAACTAAAGCAAACTGTTTGAACAAAAGTTCTGGATTCTATAATAATTCTTGGATGATGATAAATAACATAGGGAAGGGCCTTTATATAGGCGCTAACTAGATCTAGTCATATTCTAACTATAACTCTACCAAAGCAATAAAATATTAAGTAACCTAAACAATCTAGATATCATAAAGCAATAAGAAATCTAAATATCTAGGGGATCTTGAAGCCTTGTCTTGCACTCCAAGCATAATATCTAGGGTAGAAGGAAAACACACGATCTATCACCTCTCAATGAAAGCACCAATGATGAACATCATGTGTTCCGATTGCCGATAAGCCACGAACCCGCGCCTTGAATCGCCGATAGGTGTTTTTGTAGCCACAACCGCGCCTATTGAAATGAATAAAATTGCAACAGAAATCTAAAAGAAATCTAAGGCAAAGTGTTTACAGAAGTTCGGATTTTTATTGATAAACTGAATGATGAAAAATAACATGGGGAAGGGCCTTTATATAGGCACAAAATATGTCTAAGCCTAATCTACCTAGGAAACTAATAAAGCAATAAAGTATTAGAAATCCTAAACAAGCTAGAATTATAAAGCAATAAGGAAAAAATAACTTGGCTTGCACTCCAAGTTGGGAAGAATGATCTAGAGGAGATTCAGCTCAAAAAGGCTTCTACAAGTCCCAATTCCTTGTTGTCCAAGTCTGCCAGCGCGCTGCCCCTGGTAGGCCTGCTGCCACGCGCGCACGTTGTCTGCGCGTGCTGCTGTGCTGTGATGACCGATCGTATTTTTTATCTATACCGGGTTGTGAATAATCGTGCACTCAGGGCCTTCGATTACTCACGATAGGTGTATCTAACAGACGCACTCAGCCTTCTCCTAGACACTATGAATTCAAGATGCTCTAATGGCCTTCTCTCCGACACTGTATGTAAACACGCACTAACGGTCTTGTTTAAACACACATAAGAACAACATTTTCCCCTCACAATTGGCTCACCAATTCAAGACTCAACATTCAACTCTCTTAATTGTGAAGAGTACATGGGGTATTTATAGGTGCAAAAACAAATCTAAGCCTATTAGATCTAGATCTCCTAATTCATGCAATAAAATAAATCCTAATTCTAGAAAGCAATAAAATCCTAATATTACTATAATACTAATGCTTGACTTGCACTCCAAGAAAATCTAGAAGCTTAAGACTCGCATGCCCTAAGTACTCTCGGCCGCCTCACGTGGCTTATGCGCGCCGCCTCGGTTTACTACTCCTTGGCGCGCGAGGCATCGTGCGCCTATCCCGTGTTGCACACGCACGCCTTCGCGCGCGCCTTGTCCGTACTGCCCTCCTCTCGCACGTGTGTGTCCATCACCTTGGCTTCGCCTAGTCCCGTGTGGACTAGGTCTCTCGCGCTTTCCCCACAATCGCACGCCATTGCGCATGTCGTCTGTCCGCGTGCCGCGTCTCGCGCGTCACTGTCATGCTTGTCTAGTCCTTCGGTGACTAGGTCTCGCGCGCGCCCTTCACACGCGCACGCTGTTGCGCGCGCTTCACTCCTATCGCGTCCCACCTGTGGGTGCACACCCGCACCCAGCACTCCTACGCCTGCTAGGTCGCGGTCTGCTCCTGCCAGCGCATCGCCCGTCTCGCCCATGCCTACGCGGCTTAGGCCTTTGCCCGCGTACGTCCACTCGCCGCTGCCCGCGAGCCCCGCGCCATCGCCGGCTTCCTCGCATGCGTGTGCTCCTGCCTTTCCTAGGCCCTCTAGGCTGAGGCCTTCATCCGCGTGTGCTCCTTGCGCGCACCCCGTGTTCCCCGTCACTTTGCCGCCAAGCGCCAACGCATCCCAATCAACCTCTGTCGCTTGCTCGCCCACCGTGCACCCGCGTACACCGTCTTGCCCGTTCGACCATTTGCGCGCATCAAGGCACAATGCGCGTTCCTTGCTCGTGCTCGCACCCCTGTCGTCGACCGACTCCAAGTGCTCGCCCGATGGCCATGGGTCCCAACCATCCAACCCAATACAATCTCCTGCTCGCCAAATCCAACCATCCTCCATTCTCTGCCTACCTCTCCTTCGAGCCTCAATCTTCCAAACTCACCTTTTCCTCGCACAAGGCTTGCACCAAAACTTCCCTTTTTTATCCTTTGCCTTGTGTTTCCTTTGGGCTTGCTTGGCCTTGCGTTTCCGAGCCTTCACCTTGAACTTCAGACCACATTCTTTTGGCCAGTCTCGTACACATGATGGCCGGTGTATTGGACTTGTCGACTTCTCTAGCATGTTCTCTAACCATATGTTGAGATCATCGCCACCTTCATCCTCCGACTCGTCTGGGTTGATGACCACTTCCGTATTATTTCACTCCTCTTCAAGACTTTCCTTGTCCTCAAGGATTAGAAAATTTAGAGCACCTTCATCTTCATGGTTTTGAGCATCTATCATCATTGTTTCTCGGGCTTCTACGAGTTGTCGCTCGTATTCTTCTATGTTCCTTCACTCATGAAGCTCATCTAGGTATGTTCTTTCCCATGGTATGATCTCTCTTTCCAAACCCTCCAACATCTCAAGATCTTCCCAATCTAACTCATCCATTGGTGGGTAAGACATTTTGTTTAAGAGACTATAAGTTCGAAAAAATTTGAACCAAAAAGATTAAAAAAACAAAGAGAAATTCGGCCCCTCAACAAAAGGTAATAACCGAACAAAAATCAAGGACTAGATGACACTTTTTTTTTTAATACTCACGAAAAAATAAATGAAAAATTTGAAAAAAATTTTAAAATTTCGAACCAAAAAAGAACAAAAAATTCGGTCCCCTCAGCAAAAGGCAAAACCGAAAAAAAGAAAAGATAGATAGATAAAAATACGATCAGCACCTCTCAATGAAAGCACCAATGATGACGGATCGTATTTTTGATCTGAATGGGGTTGTGAATAATCGCGCACTCAGGGCTTTCGATTACTCACGATAGGTGTATCTAACAGACGCACTCGGCCTTCTCCTAGACACTGTGACTTCAAGATGCTCTAATGGCCTTCTCTCCGACACTGTATGTAAACACGCACTAACGCCTTGTTTAAACACACGTAAGAACAACAGTTCCCCTTTACAATTGGATCACCAATTCAAGACTCAACCTTCAACTCTCTTAATTGTGAAGAGTACATGCGGTATTTATAGGTGCAAAAATAAATCTAAGCCTAATAGATCTAGATCTCTTAATTCATGCAATAAAATAAATCCTAATGCTAGAAAGCAATAAAATCCTAATATTACTATAATACTAATCCTTGACTTTCACTCCAAGAAAATCTAGAAGCTTAAGTCTCGCACGCCCTAAGTACTCTCGGCCGCCTCACGTGTCTTATGCGCGCTACCTCGGTTTCCTAATCCTTGGCGCGCGAGGCATCGCGCGCCTATCCCGTGTTGCACGCGCGCACCTTCGCCCGTGCCTCATCCGCTCTGCCATCCCCTCGCGCGTGTGTGTCCATCACCTTGGCTTCACCTAGTCCTGTGCGGACTAGCTCTCTCGCGCTTGCCCCACAATCGCGCGCCATTGCGCATGTCGCCGTCCGCGTGCCGCGTCTTGCGCGTCACTGTCATGCTTGCCTAGTCCTTCGGTGACTAGGTCTCTCGCGCGCCCTTCACACGCGCACGCTGTTGCGCGCGCTTTACTCCTACCGTGTCCCGCCTGCGCGTGCACACCCGCGCCCAGCACTCCTACGCCTGCTAGGTCGCGGTCCGCTCCTGCCAGCGCATCGCCTGTCTCGCCCATGCCTACGCAGCTTAGGCCTTTGCCCGCGTACGTCCACTCGCCGCTGTCTGCGAGCCCCGCACCATCGTCGGCTTCCTCGCATGCGTGTGCTACCGTCTTTCCTAGGCCCCCTAGGCCGAGGCCTTCATGCGCGTGTGCTCCTTTCGTGCACTCTGTGGTCCCCGTCACTTTGCCGCCAAACGCCAACGCATTCCAATCAACCTTTGTCGCTTGCTCGCCCACCGTGCACCCGCGTACACCGTCTTGCCCGTTCGACCATTTGTGCACATCAAGGCACGATGCGCGTTCCTTGCTCGTGCTCGCACCCCTGTCGCCGACCGACTCCAAGTGCTCACCCGATGGCTATGGGTCCCAACCATCCAACCCAATACAATCTTCTGCTTGCCAAATCCAACCATCCTCCATTTTCTGCCTACCTCTCTTTCGAGACTCCATCTTCCAAACTCACCTTTTCCTCGCACAAGGCTTGCACCAACACTTCCCTTATTTAGCCTTTGCCTTGTGTTTCCTTCGGGCTTGCTTTGTCTTGCGTTTCCGAGCCTTCACCTTTAACTTCGGACCAGATCCTTTTGGCCAGTCTCGTACACATGATGGCCGGTATATTGGACTTGTCGGCTCCTCTAGCATGTTCTCCAACCACATGTTGAGATCATCGAAACCTTCATCCTCCGACTCGCCTGGGTTGATGACCACTTCCGTGTCACGCTGCCCTGCGCTCGCGCGCAGGCTGCTGTCCTGCCCCCGCGTGCGCTGTTGTCCCCCGCCGTGCCTGCGCGCGCCTGTCTCTGCGCGCGTGTCTGCACGCGCGCTCTACTGTGTTGTGCCCGTGTCTGCGCGTGCCCGACCTATTCGCAGCCCGCCTGTGCGCGCACCCACCTGCGCGTAGCCCTGCGTGCCACTGCCTGCCAGCGTGCTGCAAGCGCTGTCATGTGCGCGGGATGCACCTGTTTGGCACCCAACTCGCGTGCCTTCCATTCTTTCGAGCCACCTGATTCCTTAGCCATTCCCACCAGGTTCTAATACTTTGAAAACCATCCCAAAACCTCTGATAGCGCTTCCTTCCGAGGCGTGGTCTCGCCTGTGCACGTCTATGCCAATGTGCGTGTTCGCGCCCTTCCTGGCGCCCGATTGTCACTCGTCTTGGGACCATCTTCTCGCACGATCTTGAGCACATCCATGCGCTCGACCCTTCGAGCCTCGATCTCTCGAGCTTCTTGCTCGACCTCCTATGCCATTGTGCACTTCGGCACCCTCGTATGCGGGCTCGTGTACGTCTTTTAGGCCATGCTAGCCTTGTTTGCTCCCTTTGCTTGGCCTTGTCCATTAGCCTCGGCCCTCGGCCTTTCTCATCATTTCCGCATCATCCGGTGATGACGGATCGTGGTTTCTGTCTATTGGTTGTGAATAATCGCGCACTCAGGGCCTTCGACTAAACACGATAGGTGTGATTAACAGACGCACTCAGGGCATTCTCTTAGACACGATTGTGATATGGGATATTATATACTAGACCGGTTTGTTGGGCTAACCGGATAAAATAGACTGGTTCGTCGGGTTAGCTAATTAAGACGGGTCAGATGGTATGGTCGAACTGGGCCAGGCATCTGCAATGAAGGACAGAGAGTAGACAGCAAAGACGAGCGGGTTCAAAAGTGATCGACAAACACCGGCTACTTGAGGAGTTGGTCGAGGAAAGATGGTCGGATAGGGTATGGTTTGGTCGAGCATCACAATACACAAGGGAATCTCCAGCACGTGAAAGGAGGACACGCGGCATTCTATGAGTGGCCTAGGGCAGTAACAAACTCTGACATTCTCTGACAGGTTAGACGCGTCCTCTGACATCAGGGATTGTGGAGGCGCGCGGTTGTACGGACGAGCAGAGGACGGTTGGCCAAACTCGCTCTACCCGCGCGTGTAGAATAGGTAGCTCGTCCCTATAAATAAGGACGAGAAGCCTCAATTTTCGATACAATCTCTCATACTCTTACATATTTACATACACATATATTATCTCTCAAGATATGACTTGAGCTTTGGAGGCTCTTCACCGGAAAACAACTCCAGTGTGGGAGTTTCGTGCAGGTTCTGCGTTTAACCGGCGAGGAGAATGAGCTTGAGGCAGTTTTCAGTCGGTTGAGGTGCGAGACTTGTATTATTGGCGCCGTCTGTGGAACCTTCGTTCAAAAAGTTGTGTTTTGAGCTCAATTATGGTGGACGGAGTTCCTCGAGTGAATTTACATTCGTCGTTTGATGAAGCATGGACGATGACAAGACCGATGGGAGCGGGACCTCCACTTGGTTTCTTCGGGCCGTCACAAACACTGATGACCCCAACGCCGATGCCTTAGAGTGCGGCGATTCCAGGTGGGGGAGAAGGCACGAGCAGAGAGCACGAAGCTCGCGAAGCAGCACCGACGGCGGCCCTCGCGCCATTGCAGGCAGGCCCGATTGTGGTGCAACAGGTTGGACCACTGATGCAGCCGATGGCGCCACCAACAGGAGGAGCACCGCAACCCCCTGCTCAACAAATGGTGACTATGACGAGGGAAGAGATGCAGAGGATGATGGCCAACGCGGCGGCGCAAGTTGTGCAGCAGGTCACTCACCAGACATCCCAGGCTGCTACCACACTGACCACGGTACCAGGGACTCAAGAGAAGGATGTGTCGAGTTATGGCGGAGGAGGAGAGCCCAGAGATAGGGCGATGGAGAGGATGGCTGAGCAGCTCCAAAAGCTGCAAGAGAAAGTGGAGGGAAGGCCGAACAGGCGTGCTTGAGGACACTGTTCTCGAGGGAAATTCTAGCTGCACCGCTGCCCGCGAGTTTCAGGGAGATAAATCTTATTTTCGATGGGTCGAGCGATCCATCAAGGCCTATAAGGACGTTTGAAAATATGTACGTATTGCACGGATACTCGGACCCGATCAGCTGCAGGGTGTTCTTGTCGACCTTACGAGGAGGTGGGCTCGACTTGTTCCACCAACTAGCCCCTAGTTCGATTAAAGATTTTGAGAATTTTTCGAGACAACTCGCCAACCAGTATTCGAGTGCGGTTGCCCAGGAGAAGACATATCTCACTCTAATGGTGATGCGGTAGGGCGAGAAAGAATCTTTACGGAAATATGTGGCCCGATATAACCAGATGTGTCTTGAAGTGCCTACGACGGTCGACAAAGTGAAATTGGGGGTTTGATTAGAAGCCTGCGACCAGGGCTGTGTCGGACGTCGTTAGCAAAGACGCCTGCTCGAACTTATGATGAAGTGGTAAAGAGGTGCAAGAAATACATCAATCTAGAGGAGACGAAGACTGTGTTTGCCAAGCTCGAGGAGGTGACAAGGCCCGCGCCGAGGAAGTAAAGGCTAAATTTGCCCAGGAGGGAGTCGCCCCGGAGAAATTCCCCAAAGAAGGGCCCATATAGGAGGTTTTCGTCTAAGAAAGATAAGCGGGGCCCGTGGCGCACTGGGCGAGAGGATGATGGGAATGGCGACCCCTCTTGGCGAATGGCCACAGGTACAACACATTCATGCCGATAATTGCAAAGGTAGGGGAGGTTTTGGTGGCGATCGAGGATAAATTATGGGACAAGGAGGTCACATGGCCGGCGACAAGGTTGAGGGACCAACATGGCCCAAATCGAGCAAATACTGCAGGTTTCATCGAGATTATGGGCATACCACAAAGGGTTGTAGACAATTGAAGGACGAAATCGAGCATCTCATACGAGCGGGGCATTTGAAAGAATTTGTTATCTGCGATCGACCACGCGGTAGGGAGAAGAGGAGGTGCAAGGAAGGCTCAGTGGCGAGAAGCGATGGAGAAGATGATGGAGAGGATGAGGCTCGAGGAGAAAAGGGTGGTCGATGGGGTGAGGAAGAGAAGAGGAGGCGTGCTAATGATGGTCGAGAAGGACAAGGAGGAGAAGCCACCGACAAAGAGAGGTACTATTTATCTGATTTCGGGAGGACCAACCTACGGGATTCGAACAATGCCCGGAAAGAACATGCACAAGCTTTTAAACGTAAGAGAGAGGAGGTCAGAATAACTGGACGAATGTCAGTGATTAGTTTCCGGGCGGAAGATGCTGAGGGGATTTCCCTACCCCACAATGATGCACTAGTGATCACGGCAAAGGTGGCAAGTTCGATGTGAAGAGGGTGTTCATCGACACGGGCAGCTCGATTGATATCATGTTCTATCATTGCTTCGTGCAGATTAACAAACACCTTGATTTGGAGTTGAAGCTGGTGGCAACGATATTGTATGTTTTAATGGTGGCGAGGTCATGCCCATGGGCGAATTGAGTCTAACGGTGGCGCTGGGATCTGGGAATACGAGGAAAGTGCGCATGGTTAGGTTCATAGTGGTGGGTGCAAGGTCGTCTTACAATGTTATCTTGGGAAGGACCGGTTTGAATGCGTTCCAGGCAGTCGTGTCTACATACCACATGACGATCAAGTATCCGGTGGGCGAAAATGTGGGCGAGGTTGCTGGGGAGCAGCTTACTCGAGAAGCTGTTACCAAACGACGGTCAGTAACAATAACCAATTGGCGAAAAAGCAGTTGAAGGGTGATGAGGAAGGGCTAGATCGACCAGGTGGTTCGAGATCGAAGGAGGATAGAGAAAGGCATGAAAAGGGGAAGGGGAAAGTGGACATACAACCAGCAGGAGAGGTCGAAGAAGTTCAGATGGTCCAAGGATGTAATGAGCGGAAGTTCAGGATAGGGAAGGAGCTGGAGGAGCCGATCAGATCTAGATTGGTCGATCTAATTTGGGAGTTTGTGGATATTTTTCCTATACCGCTGAGGAGTTGACAGGGATTGACGCAAGGGTGATCGAACACGGGTTGAACATCGATTCTCTGTGAGACCGGTGAAGCAAAGGAGGAGACACCACGGGGTGGAGATAGACAAGATAATCGAGCAAGAGGTCGAAAAGTTGATGAAAGGTGGCCACATTACGGAGATCCAGTTCCCGGAAAGGCTGTCGAACACTGTGATGGTGGCAAAATCAGAAGGGAAGTGGAGGATGTGCATTGATTTTAGAGATTTGAAAAAAGCATGCCCGAAAGATCTGTATCCACTACCAAGAATCGACCAATTGGTAGATTCCACGGCAGGGTTTGAATTGCTCAGCTTAATGGATGCGACCCAAGGCTACCATCAAATTTCTTTAGCTCGAGAAGACAGAAAGAGGGTGAGCTTCATAACTAGCAAGGGAACATATTGCTATGTGGTGATGCCATTCGGCTTGAAGAACGCAGGAGCGACCTACCAAAGGTTGGTCGATAAGATATTTAAGGAGCAATTAGGCAGGAACATGGAGGTGTATGTTGACGACATGCTCGTCAATAGTAAGGTGGAAGCAAACCACGTGACAGACTTGAAGGTGACCTTCCAAACCTTGAGAAGATATGGCATGAAACTCAATCCTGCTAAATGTTCTTTCAGGGTAAAGGCCGGAGAATTCCTGGGGTACATGGTGACGAGGAGAGGAATAGAGGTGAACTCAGAGAAGGTCCGTGCCGTGATTGAGATGAAGCCGCCAACAAACATGAAGGATGTACAAATATTGATAGGTCGAATAGCGGGATTAAGCAGGTTTATCTCTAAAGTCGCTGAGAAAAGTGGTCCACTATTCAAAACACTAACGAAAAGTTCAAAGTTCCAGTGGACGGTTGAAGCACATAAGGCTA